GTCCCTTCACTACAGCCTCCGCTGTCCTGTAACGAACGCAAAGTTCCTAGCGTGAAACACATCCCTACCCCCGTGGATGCTCACAATTTGTTGCACGCGACACCCGACACGTGTCACAGAGTTAGACACACGAGTCTTTCCGTGAGGTCTTTTCGTACCTGTTCCCTTTCTCTCTTTCCGCATTGTTCGCAAACACTTCATGAGCGACAATTTTAAACGCGAACTTTATTCCTTCGTACTATAAAAATTAATCGAACATTCCTACGATCTTCGACAAATCTCCATTAATAATATCTTGCCACACATTTTGTCAAAAAGATGGAAGTTACCGACTCTAAACATTAAAAATACTTTCTAGCTTTTGTCCTTATTTAATTTGTTTTATAATACAATTAACGTTAAAACTAATATCAAAATATAATATGAATAGTGATTCTTTTACTTTTGTGTTTCACTGTTCGCTGAGATCTATATTATTTATTTGATTACTTTATCCGTATGAATTATTTGTAATATCAAAAAGACATGACTACTGCATACTGTAAAAACTTTTATCGCATAAAATTTTTTTTCTACTTGGTTGAACTTTTAGCCGAGATAACAGAAGGATCTCGTGCGTGCATTCGTGTAAAATAAAACGCACTTAGTGATGGTTGAAATGGTTATAAGCGGATTAAAGTAGGACTCACCTGTGGAACTATCTCTGAACCATTTCGTGAAACACAGAGCAACGTCGAAATAATATCTTGCCACTGAGAGTCACAGAAGTCTTTGTTGCCACATTGACGATCCAGATTAATTAATTCTGAAATAATAATGCACTGTCATTATCTAATTTGTAAACTTATCCGAAACACACAAAAAAAAAATTCTAATTTCAGATAATTTATATGAAAATAACAGATCTTCAAGAAAGCAATTCAAATTGCAACAAAAAACAGAATAAAATATTGGAATAAATTTTATCTAAAGCTTATAAAAAATTATATATAAAATAATTATATGTTATATCTATTCATTCGTATAATTATCAAAAATTTAATGGTTTTTTAAATTTGATTTTTGTTTTAATATGCTAAACTTTTTTTAGCATAGTATCATTTAATAATTTAATATCTTACACAATTCCACAAATATGAAAATAGTTTGGTGATAATTCAATTTACAAAAAATGGATCATAGATTAATATTGATTTCATTATAACACACACGTAATAGTATTAAACTCTAATAAATATATAATTACATAATATCAAATTTTACTCACCAGCCAATGTTTCGTTGTTGCAATCATTATTGTCGTTGGCTGCATCGTCCAAATACAACACATACACATTTATATGGCACTAATTATCATATACGATACGACACTCCCGAATTTTATAGTAAATTCGTACATTCTCGAATTTTACAGTAAATTCGTACCCTCCCGAATTTTACGGTAAATTCGTACGACATTCTCGAATTTTGCGAGCGCGATACGCTTTCAAGGTAAAATACGACAATTTCGAAATTACTCCATAAGCGCGAAATAATTCATTGAAAAATTCAGCACTACGACAATGCTGATCTACTAGAATTGCGAGTCAAAAAAACATAATATTGTCGAAAAAGCTTACTATCGTTTGCCTTCGGCGATTGACAACGCATCCGATATTCCCGACGCGCGATCCCGTGGCGATACGCAATGTATTGCCGAACGAATAAATAACACGAATAAATAACGATGATCGCTCGTGACGTTGCTCGACATTCTCAAGTACTTCTAAAAATTTCCAAAATGGGGGCGCACGTATGCAACTTCATACCGACGCTAAGGACAAGAACGATGTTCAATATGGTGGGATAACCGTGACTGACTTCGTCGATATCTAAATTATGACTTAGATTAGGCCGCGAATATTAATTACTCTTGACGATTCTACGTTGCTCAATTCAATATTTCCGGTATCGTTTAGATTCTTAAAAAGTTTGGAAGACGGAGACTATATATTGCATCGATGCTCAAAGATTCAACGAACACGGCACGATTCGACGTAACAAACGTGACTTCTTTTACGAACGTTGAAAGACTAATAACGCGACCGTACAGATCAATTAACACTCCACGATGATTGCTCATTACTAAAAACAACATTTTCGACGTATATTTATATACGAAACTCACCCCAACAGAAGAAACGCACGCGATATTCAGAACGACACTCGCTCGCGTTCGTCACTCTCGTCGTCGCCGCACGAACTGAACGAGGCAGCGAACTAGATTCTATTACGTCAGGAGCGTATGATCACGTGATTATTAGGAATTTTCATGAAAAATGCTCTATATTATTCTTATATCGCAAAATCATACATCGATCAGTTATTACTATTTATCTTTAATAATCTTTTTTATACCACTTCATTATATAGATTAAACTAGTTATGTAGATAACTAAATGATACAAAATACTGCAAAATCGACTATGTAGATAATTTATATTTATGTGGTTAAGTGAAAAGGTTCCGTGCTTATACATATTAGATGATCGAGAGAATAACAGATCTAAAGTACGATATATGTATTACGCAGTAATAATCTCGGAGTACAAGAAGCATTCCGAAGAACACTGAGCTACGGTGTTGCTATATTTATTTGAAGCGACGTGACAGGTAAACAAAACACTGCGTTCGGACAACAGTCGCCGTGAACGCGAGACTTCTAGGAAAAACGTGTCGCAATAATCCACCGACTAAATATTCGACACATACAACTGACAATAACACACAGCTGACAAGTCATCGTGGAAATAATATCACAAATATAAAGAGAAAATAATTGTATTCTACAATATGTATACCTTGATATTTTTCGTTCGACACTCCCGTTTCTACACGCGATAACTTTACATTATGAAACGCGTCAATATGTTTTGAAATACATGTCTTGCCAATCGTATCGCGTCACCGGATTGGTTGCAAATGTTTAAGATGCATTTTAATGTTTTATGTATATAGTAATTAATCACTAATCTAATAGTTGATGGCAATATAGACAAAAGTCATAGAATCATAAAATAAACATCGCAAAAACGATTTTACGATTATGAGATGAATTTTATATTGTTATGATATCGCTTTTTGTTCACGATGTAAGATAAATATTTCAGAGGCCAGATATTTAAAGGTTAATAATTATTAAAGATAAAAATTGTTTTGCATTTCTATTGTAAAGTAATGTATGAAATTACTATTAATTGTATGTTTCAGTATTTAAGAGACATATCTTTTTTGTATCTAAAATATTGGAGCAATTTATTCCCTAGAATGTGTTTTCAAGATTTTCATTGGTCACGATTGTCGTTACTTTGTCTCTTCATGACAAGTGTGATTGCGCGTCTATGTATTCACAGAATTAGTGACGATTGCGCATTGGCAATGTTCACACGATTAGTTTGCAGAATGACCGTTTGAGGTGTCGCAAATGTGAGTCGCTCTGCGTTTCGCGCGTGTTCTTCCTCAGTGCAAGCAAATTCGAATATAAGCAAATGTCGAGAATGTCAAATCAAACAACGGACGGTCGTGGTAGAGTGTTAATTTGCGTGCATGGCCGCGATTAGTTTTTCAATATTCGTAAAATCAGTCGCGTTCGTCGAGTCGGTCGAACATCGCTCGCCAAATCTTCGAGCAACAACGTGAAATTGTCTTTTAAAATTTTTCAACATATTTCGAGAGTATCGGAAGTGTCGTGTAAAGTCATACGGGTGATCGTATTTCGTGTCATTTATAATCGCGGTATTTGATAATCGCGGAATATCGGAAGTGTGCCGGGCGACGTGATAATAAAAGCAAATGATGATAATTAATCCTTCCGATGATACTCGCGTTTGACATATTTAACTAGCAATACAGCTTCATCAGACGCAGATTGTCACGATACCGAAATTTTCAATAGATAGAATTGTTTTGTGATTGTAATAAAATTATTTCGGAATCGTATTTCATTGAAAGTCGGCTATGTCGTACATAATTAGTTTTATGTAAATATATATTTGGAAAATGACAGAATAGATTGCAGTTACTAGACATTGACTGGTGAGTAAATTTTATATTATATGATTCATTATATATTTATTATATATTTTGATATTATTATATTATAAAATTTGAAATACATTACATTATGAAATAAATATGACCTGTGTGATCCATGTCCTGTACATTACAGGATTATATATATTTTTCTATTCATAGTATTATGTAATTTATTAAATTTTATATTGTGGAAAAGAGAGAAAGCTTAGAAAGAGCATCTTGAAATGACAATAGAAAGATTAGATTTTTATAAAAATTATGTTGTTTACTAATTATAGATAAAAAAGAGTTTGTATTTAATTTATTTATTTATAATTATTTATAATTTTTTATAAAATTTACAAGTTTTTGAAAATATTAAATTTTGCAAAGCATGTTAAAAATGCATATTAAAATTTAATAAAAACATATATATATAATAAATATTATAAAATATAAAACAGTCTAAAAAAGCGTTATATTTTAGGACACTGAATTATCGATACACGAGTTAAGATTTTTGTAATTATAAAAACATGTGTAACCGAGTTTAATTTGCAAAGTTTAATTTTTAAAGTTAAATTATATTAATACAATTATCAACAATTAATTATTATCATTCGCACTCTAAGCTTACTAATAGTCGGTAACTTACTCTCTGCTTCACTTGTGGAAAGAGTCCAAATTTCTCACCAGATAGCGGTAGCCACGACGTGCACAATATGGCTGCCTAGTATTGGCATCGCCATGGCAATTTTCTTGGCAGCTTCCTAACTGACGCCTTTTTTATACATTTTACACGAGTTTTTTAATATCAGCGCCTAGGACATAGATACAGTGTGTGTGCGTGTGTACTATAATGTAATCGCGGTACTGAAGAGGTGTTTGAAAGATCGAAAACGTGGTGAGTGTTTCTCGTACTCGCTGTGCGCAGTAACTCTTAGTGATTCGCTTTGTCGTTTCGGTGTCAAGCAGTCGACTTGTTTACAAGTGTAGAACCGCAAGAGTCGATATTATAAGCCAGGGTGTAATTCGAAGCGGCAAGCGACATGTTACTCGTTCGAGCACTCGAACAACGTTGTGAAATACATCCCGTGTCGTTTGGAACAGTGGATATAACCTCTCCGTATCTCGAAGTTTTCTATTCTTTCCGTTTCTACATATTCCGCTCAAGCTGCGCATATTTCAATTTCTCCATCGCCTCGCGTTTCTCGAGTCATAATTTTAAGAGAATCTCCTCGCGCGATTTTGTCGTCGTTTTTATGTCGCAACGATTGACAGCCTCGTGCATAGCAAAACAGTGGTAGTAAACAATCAGGATTGTTTACCGATCTCTTGACATCGACAATATCCGCGTGTACGGTCGTTGACGCGCCGGTAGATAAACGAGCGTAGTCATGGTAACCCACTCGTCTGCGAGTGCATCGTCGCGAACGTTTTGCGTCTAGTGACAGCTGACCAGAAATATTAGAAGTGTCAAATGTCGTGGGCGCGAGATTAAATGTCATGCGATCATTTATTTGTTTATACGTTGTTTTTATTCTTTTGTCGTGAATTATTTTACATTGTTATATCATCAGCAAATAATTGTTCGTGTACGCGTTATCATTCTCATCGTGATCTCGGAGAAAATTGCGCTCCGAGTATCATCGTTTGCAATTGTCACAGTTGGATGTGCGATCACTGATGTATTTGTAAACGTTAGAATGTGATTAAGTATAACATGTATGACGCAAAGCGTTCCTCAAAGCACAGAAGAATGTATTGATTTTTCCGCCAAAATTAATGTGTCTCTACGATGTTTGCTTTCAGGGCGGATCTAACCACATTCCGAGAGTCTGAAAAGCGACACAGGTGCGTACCGACAGAGGCATCCCGCGGAGGGATGTTCGAAATATCCGAGCAGTAGCGACCGATGCACGTATGTTTGTTATGTTATTTTTTTATCTTTTGCATTATTTCTTGCCATTGACTGCATATATAAACAAAAGATTACATTTAATATTTGTTGATTATTCTATCTTCTTTTGCTTTTAAATTTTAATTTTAATTATTGAGTCGAGTATATTGATATAGAATTTATTTCTCTTTATGTATAACAAAATATCTTTGATCAAATAAAATTAGTAATAAGAGTTTGTATTATTGTAATGCATCAATTTGTTTTTAAAATGTGTTATGATTATTAAAACACCATAAAGAGTATTCGGAGCAGCTTTATTATTTGTTTTATTAAATATAATTTTTAAGCATATATTTTAAGTATATATTAATTACATATTTTGATTATCATAAATGGTAAGAATATTATCAATGCTATTGTTTATATATGCGGTCATTCCATAGCTATTGAATTTTCTTCTTTGTTATGTACAATATTAGTTTACACATATACATACATTATCAGTAATTATTCTGTTGCCATAGTTGGTTTGTCTGCTTCTTCTGACACTTGCATAAACATTTGTTTTTTTATTTTAACTTTTAACATAACATGCATTTCTATTATTACTGTGGAAAATCCATTTATTATATCCCTTTTTTTATTACAATTAATTTAAAAAACTTATTGGATAAATATATATTAATATATATATATTAATATAATTATAAAAATAAAAATATAAAAATACAATAACATATAAGTTTAAAAGAATTACAGTTCTTATACTGCATAAATTTTATGTTTATCTTATTGTTAGTCTATGATTATGCATGTGATAAATTATTTCGTTATCTGCTTTATTATTGTATTTAACTAAAGAGAAAATTCAGTATATTATACATTTATTATAAGCCTACTGATACATATATCCCTACTTGTTAATAGTAAGTATGCTCCAATGTTTTTTTTACCAATAACATATTCATAAATTTTACTCATGTTTTAAAGTACTTGAATAACATAAATTCCACCGAGATTCTCGAGCAGTATGACCTCTTTTTTATACGCATATGATAACAGTTTTTATTACTCTATTATTTTAAAATGCCATTGACATTAATACATTAAAGCTGAAAAAGATTTGCAATATATTCTGATTTTAATATGATATATATTAATTCATATGTGCAAGAATGTACATATTTTAATATAATTAAGAGAAATAATTTAATAAACATGCTATTGGAAAGTTATCATTTTCCAGTAACGTGGAAAATGTAAACATAAACATAATTAAATCGGGGCAACTTTTCTGTATAATGTTGCAAACCTCTATTTTATTGATATACTTTTATTATGAAGCTGATAATTAGAAAGGTGTGCTATACCACGATGTATGTATGTATTTAGATATATAAAAATTTTATTGTTGATAATTTGCAAAATAAGCGAGAACTACATTAATATTTTTTTAGTCTATTGCAATTATTTACTTTATATACCAATTGTTGTTATACTTGTCAATCTGTGTTGCCTTTTATCAATAGTTGTGTTTTATGGACACAATCTATTTTTTAAAACAACTAAATTTTATATTTTTTTATCGCTCAATATTTAATATCTTTTTTCGTGCAATTTTTTTGAATTATAAAAATATAAAATGATGTATTTTTTGATAGTTTTATCGTAGGATGGTAGGAATCTGTAATACCATTTTACCGACAAATATCGCAGTATAACACCCTTTCCGGTAACTTACTCATGAAGGTAAGTCTTTATACCGACGGCAGCAGTACCTACATACCAGCTGTTGTAATTTACTCTTCATCCCTTGACTAAATCCCTTGACATCTTTCGTACGTCCTATTCGCATGTCGGTAATAACACTTCCTGGCTGTTATTTTCGGGTTTCCATTTGTTGAAATAATGGCGAACACATTTTCAACAATCGAGACATTTGTTAATTTCTTTTATACTACAGAGGAACATACATTTTACATCTGATTATCAATACAAAATTTATCATAATAATTTATATTATGTAGCACAACTATATTGCAATTTTGGAGATAAGAAATGCCGTTCAATCAATAATATTTATATGAGACTATGCATCTACGTACTTTTTAAAAAATGAAAAAATAATGAATCTACATTTATCTGATATACTTAGAGTTATTGATTAATAATTATCTTTAGACTTTTATTTATGCCGTACAATGTTTTCTGTTGTACTAATAAAGAACTAAGAGAGATGTATATATGTACAGACAAAATGTACAGACAAAATGTACAGACAAAATTCGTGAAAAGAAGTCTACAACTAATATAAAATATACTTTTACTTTGATTAATTACATTTTTCATACGTTTTGCGATGGACTCTAGGTAACATGTTAGCTATTCGTGATGAATCCGAATAAAAACGAAAAAAAAAAGAAAGCGGCGAGTTCACGTGAAGTAAAGTGGCTTGTGGGTGGGTTTGCGTTTGCGTACACGAGAGCGAACTTCCGACCGCGCGTTGTCAGGTATTATTTTTAATCACTCGATAGTTCGCCCGAATGCCCGAGTGCGAATCTCGAGGCAATGCGATTATCCCGTAATTGGATTACGTTTGACTTCCACCTGTTTTCATGCAGATACGCCGCGTTCGCTTCTTTTCACATCGCCGCTAGTGCCGAGGTGCCAATATCGTTTTTTCCTTTGTTTTTTTAATGCAACAATTCACACGTATTAACTATCAGTGACTTCATATAATTCACTGGATAATGTAACAGTATGTTTTGCAAAAGATATGTACAGTGCGAATTACAATGTTATATCTAAACTAAAATATACATACACTTAATTCGATTTTTGTATTTACGAATAATTTCCGTTACTCTTTTATTGGAAATAAATAAAAAAAAATATTTGCAATCTATTATACAAAGAATTTGCATATTAGTTTCTGAATGCAGATGTTTATTAATATTTTCGTAGTTTTTTAAATTGACCATGAATTATGAATTTCCGGTCGTATTAGGGAGCATCTGGTTTCCGCGTATATTGTATCAAAGGGACGAGAGATCTCACGTGGGTATAATAAAACCAATAACCGATAATCGATCATGCGACTCGATAACCCCATTCATAGCGTTTATGAAAGAAGAGATAAGCATCATGAACTTTTCTCATCAAAACACGTGACACATGACCTTTGTGTCAAAACATCATTATCTCTTATATCGTGAATTAATTTAGTCCATTACCTTTTCTTCTGTTGCTTTTTCAACTGTTTAATTAATCGGATATTATTTCCTCCAGTTTGCACTGAATGAGCATATTGTTTCGTTGTATTTCTTTCTCATTGCTCAAATTCTTGAGTTCTTACACTCCAAACTGCCAGGTCAAATATCTGAAAAGAGAAATTTCGGTAGTTTCTACAAGATTATTGAAAAAACTGTCAAACTGTAATAAAGATGTCGTTCGATAATTTCATCGAACGCGTAGGAGTTTTTTTCATTTCGCGGGTGGCATTAATGAAAAAGTGATTAATTTTAAGTGTAGGTAGCTTGCTCCGCCATCGAGCTTCAACCGCATTGCTGGGTGAGCTAAACCGGCTGAGAAAGAGAAAGAGAAAGAGATCGAGAGAGAGAGAGAGAGAGAGAGAGAGAGAGAGAGAGAGAGAGAGAGAGAGAGAGAGAGAGAGAGAGAGAGAGAGAGAGAGAGAGAGAGAGAGAGAGAGAGAGAGAGAGAGAGAGAGAGAGAGAGAGAGAGAGAGAGAGAGAGAGAGAGAGAGAGAGA